ACCTTAGAAGCTCTAGCCAATTCATTTCAGTTTTGATACGTGACTAATAGTGGATCGACCCGATGCCCGTTCTTCAATGCCACTCCATCGGCCTTCAGCTTCAGCTCGGCAAAGTGTTTCTCCTCCGTGCATCAAAAAGCTTTTTTCACTTTGCATTTGGAGCATCATTAGTGAAGAGTATACCTCACGGGATTTGAACCCGTGTTTTTGAAATGAAAAGACGATGTCTTATATCGCGAGACGAAAGGAACAAAATCATTTCAAGCTCGTCCTAAACTAAGGTATAAGTGATCAAAACTGTTGGTTTTGATCATGGGGGCATGTTGATCCTGTTTGTCCATTCTTTTGAGCACTGTACTTCCTCTACCTTACCCAATTTCTCATAATTTGTGACTTTGATCTTCTGTGAGTGGACGGGGAGGAGGGGCCAATGTGCGTGGGCTTAGGTTGAATCTGGACTCCCAGTGTCATCATCCAAGGATTACCTTACAACGCTTGACTTGCTTGTCTTACAATGGCCATAAGATTCACTGCCAAGTTCAGCTAGTAGCTCGGGGGTCACGTATCCCAAAGCTCCCAACATGGTATCGGGCGTGGATCACCTCTAGCTTTCGGTTCTTGGTGAAGTTCTTGGGGTCGGCACAGAGTCCGATAGTGTTCCAATCGCAGTCACTGGAGAAGTACGATGGGATGGCACCGGAGAACGATCCTCGAGTTGGTTCGCGTATCTATATTGAAATGGATTGGTTGGAGCTTTAGGGTATAGTAGGGTGAGGGCTAATTAGTCTCATATGAGGAATAACTACAGTAGCCCTTCCCATTTTTATATAAGTACATAACAAATTGATATGTATATTGTATTTCATATGTTATACAATTCTTAAAACAAACTTTATGTTAGGGAAGGTGGAATTGGCGCAGTTTCAAAATTTCTAGTTTTGTAGCTAGATGTGTATTGGTTTAGATTGTTGAATTGGATGGACGTATGAGTATGAGCTTGAGTAGCTATGTTGGAAAATGGGCGTATATATTGATTATCATTTATACATCTTGTAGGTTAGAATGTTGTAAAGGTCTAACTGAAAAGGAAGGTTAGAACCTTTAGCCATATAAGTGCTTTGACCTCCTAGTTCTCGTGTGTTTCAAGGTGAAGACTTCTTTTGCTGAGATTTGGAGTTCTACGTCAAAGTGATAGGCGGCGAACTGACAACTATCTCAATAGCTTGTCTACTTTTTGTAAAGCTTTTACAGGTCAGTTGATCGCGCTTGTAACGAAATTGGACATTTCACGTGTATTTCGTGTTATCTTTGTCCCATGCCAATGTTTATAGTTCTACGGTTTTACCAGTTTGATACTTGTTGTTGAAGAGACCCAACAGTTCCAATTTGTTGTCATCGTGGTTCTATGGTTTTACCAGTTTGATCCTTGTTGTTGAAGAGACCCAACAGTTCCAATTTGTTGTCATCTTTAGATGCGTGTCCTTCTACACTTAACTCTGGCATGACATGAAGGTGACTTGATGCCATGCCACATTTACTCTCCACTACCGTGTCACGGAGGATTCAGTGAATTTTGGTCAATGTATTTTAGGTACTTATCTTTACATTTGTTCTACCTGATGTTTCCTTTAGATAGTAAGGATCACTCTTTTTTAACCCAAGGTTGCGTTTCCGTAGACCCTTCAAGGCTTGTACCACAACTCATGGAGTCGCACAATGCATGAAGCGACAAGTCATCACAATCTTCCATAAATCTTACTTGTCTCCATTGTTCCCGACTGAAAAACTTCTTGTCGTATGTGGAGAACATTGCTATATTTGGTGCTCAAGAATCTCAACAAGCAAGTTTCTTCTCTCACACCCATTTCATCAGAATTACCGGAGAGAAGGTAGGACGGACTGAATTCAGAAACATTATTTTTCATGATCCCTGTTATCCTCAAGGTGGGGCAACGAGTTTTAAAGCAAAAAGAACAGGAAGACCCCATCAAGTCGTACAAGGGGTAAACCAAACGGGTAACATGGTGCTGGGCCCCAATACCCCAGGGGATAGATAACATTCCTGATATATCCCTCAACCCATAGAAGATATTTCTGGCTCTGAGATGGCTACTTGGCCTGGAGAGGGCACCTTGGAACCTCGCCTGCATTATGTGTGTAGGTAGCACCAATCTTATTCTCAGGATCTAGACTTATGAGCAAAGGCAGGAAGGGAAAGCATTTTACAGCAGTGGCAGTAAAATGCTTTCCCTTCCTGCCTTTGATAGAGCGGCTAGACCTGGCTCTTTGGACAGCGAGGTCTATGTCGGCACAAGCCCTTGGAGGAAAATAATTGGCGACTGGAAAACCCGAATTAGAGGCAGTACATGGATTGTCTTTGCCATTAGCAACATCCAGATCTCGCCCTAGATTAGAAAGTCTCGATTCATCGTCTTTTAAGGCAGTAAGGATATAGAACCATAATGTTGTTGGAATAGCCTTGTCCCTCCAAATGTCAGGGACTAAAATTTAAGGAGTGGCATACCATTAAAACCCACCGAATGTGAATTCCACATGTCCGGTCGACAACATTTGTCTTGCTGGGAGAGAATCTGGGACATTCATGGGTGGCCTGGTTAGCTGAACCTTGGCAGGATAATCCGACCGACAGCGCTGTAGATTGTCACAGTATGCTTCAGGGCAGCAGCAGTGACTACTGCTGCCCTGCCCCTTCCTTCTCGAGCGTGAGAGCCTCGGTGTGTCTTTCCGAGCTACGAACATGGGTAGCAGCAGAAGTTTAGGATCTATGGCTCAATAATCACATCTTGTCAAGCTGGGCTGCTGGAACCAGTCCCGGACTCCAGCTCCATCTTACGATGACGATGGAGTCCGGCCATCGGAGTTGCTAAATTTACTTGGCTCTTGCGATAAGTGGGCCACAAGGCCAGCTAAGAAGCCCGGCAGCAGTCAAAAAAGAGAGGGCGAAGGATGGCGAAACGAATCTCACCGCGCATAAAATTCTGCAAAGCTTTACCTCGTGCGCAACTGTCTCCCCCGTCCCATCTCGTTCGAAGTACGGTGTATCTCTCTCCTGCTGTGCCGACGATCTCCAGTATCTCGAGCTTCGGCGAGATCTTCCACTGTCCTGGCCACGGAGTTCACGGTTTTCACTGTCACCCGAGTGCAACCTGGGATCACTCTCCTCCAAGTCTTTGGAGCCATCGGAGCCCCTTTCCCCTCCCTAGTCGGGGGGTGGGGTGGGGGTGGCTGAGCTTCTTAATCTGGCGTGAAACTGACGCTGCAGTGTCTCTAGCTGTTCATGCAAACCCGATTCCCTGCCCCGATTCAACTGAATCCTTTTCGACATAAAGGATTCAGTTGGGGCAGTTAGACTTTGACCAGGGTTGGCCTAGGGCAAGTCAACAGCCCATGTCGGGTTAGAAAAAGGATCGCTGATGTCTTCTCTGAGGTAGGCTGTTGTCTCGGACTTGAGAGGGAGTTTGCGGACAGTCAAGTCCTGGTGGTCACAAGTTTTGGCGGGATAGAACCGAACCTTGCTTTCTTTTGTCGCTCATCTTTCCATGCGATAACATCAAACATCGGTCCGATCCTTGGATTGGGATTCCGGTGCGGCCCCTGGGAGGGCTTTTCCTTAGTCCGTTGAGGATATCGCTCTGACCGAGGGACAATGTGAACGAGGCGAATCTTTCTGCTTAGACTGAAGTCATAGCCTCGGACTCCGATGAGAAAGGAGGGCACGATGAGTGTATTGTACTGTACTTTAAAGCTCAAACACTAAAATACTTCGATTCAAGATGATCAATGAGCCTTTTTCTTGTTGGGCTTTATTATCCCTTTCCTCTCTACTCCACTCGTGCCCTTTAAGGTCGACATCCAGTAATTCGTATGCAATGCACGACTCAATAAAATAATTCGGAAGCCATGACTGTTTTGTCTGCACTCAGAGCACTTTGACTCCTCGTGCTGTGAAAAGCTATGGGTTGTCATGAGGTTCAGGACGCAGGGTGCAGCAGTCCTTGGCCTAGAAGCCCTTTTTTAGAACGAAAAGCCGGTTGCAATGATTTATCCAGAAGGCCAGCTAGGTGCATAAACGCATGAATGAATAAACGAGAATATTACTTTGGCTTCGTTGGATATACTCGTCCTTCGGTGTATCCGAGTATTGCAGCAAATCTTACCTAGATCCATTTCAGTACAGTCCGGTCCGTAAGTAGTCTGCGACGGTAGACGCGAACGGAGACAGACGGCCGAGAAAGGCACAGAGAGAAAGGCTGTAGCGAGGAGAGAAAAGCAGGCGCCTGTAAAAGGTGAAACACGTTGTTCATCGCAACTTGGAGAGGGCGAAAGGCTGCCAATCGCTTTTCCCGAGCCGGAACGACGATCGGTGACGGGGCGTCGGTCCGGCAGAACGCAGCAGGAAGTCCGTAGTCGGAGTACAGGACTGGTACAGTACGGGGAAGGACCGGCCGCAGGTTCCCTACGGGGTAAAGGCGCTAGCGGTTGCGCTGCCTAGAAACCACACAGTGCCCAGAGGGCGGAAATAATTAAAAGCCACGCGACGATATTTTCTGCATGATGCCGGTGGGCTCCAGCCACGTGGATTTACCCAGCCAGCCCTCACTCACTCACTTCTCGAAGTCGAAGGCCTCGACCGCAGGCAGCGAGCGAGCGCAGAACCAGCATCGTATTCGCCGCTGCCGATCGTCACCCCTCGGTCACATCCTGATCCTCGTCGTGCTACATTTGCCATTTCCAAGCCGCGGACAATTCCGACATATTTGGATCTCTGGGCACAGCACATTTCTGTAAGGACAAGGGGAAGTCGCCCGCTGATACTGTTAATAAATTAATCACCTCGGCAGCTCGTGGTTCCGCTCTTCACTCAGGACTCGGGAGTGAACCTTGAGTTAACCCTTGGGTTAACTTTTTGGCTCTTCTGGCCGGCTTCCGGAAGCGAAATCGACATTTCTTCGTCTGCTTGCGAGTCTGAGCCCGAGGAGATGGTCCGAGGTACAGCAGCAGGTGCCGAGTACGAGATCGCGAGTCGCAGCGGAGCGGTCTCTATTCCGCAACACTGCGAAGGCATCCGTATCGCGAACGGTTTCAGGGAATTGTACCCATCGCGTCGCGGATTGGCGCGTGGCCGAGGCCGAGGCCGAATCCGAGGTAAACACGTAGGGCGGGCCGCGGGCCGTTGACCGGAGTCCGGCTAGCGTCGCCCGTTCTGTTGCTGGTCAGTGAAATCGTGAAAATTACCGGTACCGGAGTAGAGTCTCGGCGGGGCCCACCGGCGACGACTGGTGTTTGGACAACTCGGACCTGGGCGGCAACACATGGAGCCCGGAGGCGTCGGCAGAGCTTTCCGGCCGGGAGGTCGGTCAGCAGCGATGCGGGACGACGCATGGGGAGAGCCCGTCCGAAGGAGAGCGCGGGCGCGGGGTGGGCCGGGCGGGCGGGGGGAAGGCGCCGGCGGGTTTAAAAAGTGCAAATCAAAGCGGGGGGAGGCGGAGGCCCAGCAGCGGAGCGGGGGAGGGCGCGGGGAAGCGGGGCGAGCGCTGACTACATGCACGGCCGGGACTAGAAAAGAACACGACGAGCAAGCGGGAGAGTATCGACCGTTCCGGGACGAGGAAGCGGAGTGCGCACTCTGCAGAGTTTCCAGTCTGCCGAAGAGATGGGAAGAGCGAGGCCGCGAGGGGGAGACGACGCTAGCGGAGTTCATGCTTGGCACCTGCGGTAGTGTTTCGACGACGACGAACAAGAAGAAGAATTAGCGGGGAAGACGCGGACTGAAACGAGAGACCGAGCTGCTGCTGGCCTCCCTGAGTCTGACTTGAAGCAGAGGTGATCGGTGGTGCTGGCGGTGGTTGCGGGAAGTGCGAGAAATCCAGAAGCCCGATTGCCGACGGTGCGCGCGGTGGGATTTCTGCCGCTTCAGCGGCCGCCGCTAGCTTCCAGAGCATCAGAGTTCAGGTTCGGTCAGTGATGATTGAGCAAGAGGAGGGGAGGAGAGACAGACGCCAGTTGGCATGTTGGGCAGCTGTGGGGTGGTCCTGTGGGAGTTTAGATCAGAAGAATTCTTTTTGTCGTGCTGGGCGGGAAAAATTGCCAGGCCCGGAAGATTGCCAAGGACGCAGGAAGAGGAGAAGGAGGAAGATCCAGTAACGCACGTCAATTGGGGAGCAATGTGACGGCAGGGTATAGCGTGGTGACGAGGATCAGAACCGAGGGAAGAACGCGCACATTTGAGTAGAATTGCACTCGGATTTTGAGCTCAGAGAGTAAATGCCATTTCCGTTGGAGAATCATTGGTTCGTTTGGTAATGAAAAAATAAGGCGTTTTAGGCAGTCGGAATCGTTACGAATTACGAGTCTCTGGTGCACGGAAGCAATATTTTTATGCCTGCTTGCCTGCCCAAATTTTCTGGTAAACATTCTGTGCTTGGCAATTCGTACAGCGCTGCCGTATGAGAAAATTCGCTCGGGGAAGGGGAATACAGCGCATTAGGAGTCAGGTAGTTAATTTAGTAGTGGATGATCTTTATTCTTCAGTGTAAATCAGTAGGATTTAGCGAGACGTTTGAATGCAGCAGCCCCTGAAGTTGGCAGCCGGAATTCTCAGGAGAATTCGTCTCTTTGTGATGGGCTCAACGTGGCGGAGGTCTCATGACCACCTTACTTTCCCTCCTTTGCTGAGGAATGAACATAAAGACAGGGTTCGAAATCGAAAGCTACCTCTGGTGGATGAAAGGTGAGCATTATCAATTTCCGCTCAGTCTCATGCTGCCCATCATATGTGTACAATGGCTGGAGCTTGGAATGTCTGAAAGTTGCAAGTACTAGCTTGGCATTGCGTGTCGATTATTCAGTCTTAATATAGCATTCGACAATCATGCTCTTTCTCCTCGAAGAAAAACATCCTTCATCCTGCATTGTTGCTCATAACTATTCCAAGATAGTAGACCTTCATACTGCCAGGGCAGGATGAATGAGCGTAAATCTTGTACGATTTATATACTTGATCAGTGATACAATGCCTCTCTCTTTTGTTTTTCTTGTGCTACCTTCCAACTTAACCTTTTTCAGTACAGATTCTGACTTTATTGTATATGACTCATATAACACATATTGCAGTAAACGCACCGTATTGCTGCTGAGTCCTATTAGGGATCAGTTCACTAGGTTGTCAAAGATGAATCGGTCTCCATGTATGTCCGCGTTACTGCCTTTTTGCTTGTTGTCGTGGGTGTTATTTATCATCCTGAACATACTGTCTATCAACATCAGGACTTTTGAAACGTGTGAAGCAACTAAATGAGCCGCCATCTTACAGATTTCTTTGTTACTATTGCAACTTCTTCAACACCTTCTGTTGTTACCCGTACATATCTTCTTGTTTTCGTACGGACCTTGCATGCTGCCACTACGTCTTCTTGTAAATCTGTCATTGTTACTACTTCATGTCTTCTAGATATGTATATCTTTATACCATATTCCGTACTTCCGGTGTCCGTTATCGATGGAAGGTATGCTCAGCGTTTAGATTGCTTCTTAGATTCCAAGGATCCATTTTAGTTTGTTGGAAACGAAGTGCTTGAACACGTGTAATTCGTGACCCTCTACTTCTTTCAGAGGACGTTTGAATGTGGAGACACGGGGTGCGCCAAAGACCTCACTATACTGGGGAGACCTATTCCACACCCTTGTCAATGTAAGTTTCTTTGTTCGAGGTTCTGTCGTAACTGCAATTATTGCATTGAGTAATCAATCGAAGCTGCCGAGTAGGCACAAGGAGTTACATTTTCCATCTTAGTAGGTTGACTGAGATCGTGTGAAAGAGCTAACACAGGTGCTCATGGATGCAGATGCCGAATGCTAGGTTCATGTGTGTTCTTGCGTGTACATATACATTACTGTTTGGAGGATTTGCTGTACCATTTTACTACGATGTGAGTTTCTGTTGAAACTTTACCCTCATCTCAGCTCTTTGGGCGTATTTTTTCTGATGCAAAGGCTGCAATTATACTTTTAGTATTAAGGTTAAGAAGATATGTCTGACTAGATTCTTATCGGCAGGCTTACAACAACTCGTGCATCCCGGGTGTTCTTACTTTCAGCCATGCCCTATGGTTCAGGTATGCATGATCGATGGAACCTTTGGACTGTATATTACATGATGTTGTTGTAGATAGTGATGGATTTTAGCATATGGTACGTGCTGTACAAGTCCTTTGGTTTGTATTTTATATGATGTTTGATTTTCTTGTATATCGGCTTCTTTGACTGGTTATTTGGTGTTCATTTTGCAGTGTTCAGACATCAATGACTATTGGTTAGTTTTTCAACTTTCATCGTGTCTCTTCTCTGAAAAGATCACTCGTTCTTGCACTCTTCTAGAACTTCTTGCCTTTTGAATTCGTTGCTGAGGTGCAAGTTGAATTTCCCATTGGATTAGATCGCCGGTAAAGAATAAATGTTGGGTTTGCTTGCAGGTTATGGCGGAGATTTGACGCCTGATCCGCGCTGTACGATGACAAATGTCGTGGTCGTTATCCAGTCTCTAGTCAGTCTGTTGGTCGCTTACTCCTTGTTGGGAGTCTTCTACGTCAGGTAACTTTCTGCTTTGAAAATTCAACATGACGAACCCAAGTACAAGTTTGACAGGTTGGGGGAACTGTCATAGCATAGACTTTGAAAAGGCCTCACTTTCACCTTGAGTTTATCCCTTCAGTAAAAGCTTGAAAGGAGAAGTTGGATTTGTAGTTTTTCTTCATTCATCCGCTGAGATTTTGTTTTTCTCTTGTGGTTCAATCATCGACAGGTTTGCTCGGCCAGCTCGTCGCGCACAGACTTTGATCTTCAGTAAGAAGATGGTCATGTACGAGGTAGTAACCTTACCTGATGTTTACATGTCGCGCATTTCTATTGTCTTTGTTTGAGAATTGTGTTTATCCTGTATAGTTTATGAACTTACGAAGTTGTATTACGGTCCTCCAGGAAGATGGGGTCCCTGTCTTGGCTTTTCGGATGGCAAATGTGAGAAAGCATCAGATCATAGAGGTAAGAAGCAGTCGAAACAAGTGATGTTCTCCATTTGTTGGTTAGTGAGTGTGTCAAGCCTAGATTCTAAGTTGAACCACGCATATAGCGTGAGTTATATCCTGTTACGTTGTACTCACGTCGTTTATGAAGTTTTATCTTTGTAATCGATAATATTCTCTCCGAGATTTTTACTCCTTTTGAAGTTCGGAGCCTGTAGAGCAGGCTTATTTCTTGTAGTTCGTAATGTTTGTGATTACCAGGTGAGTGGTTTTGCATGTGGTACTGCAATGCTAGAAGGCCCAATTGGGTGTGTATACTTCAAATGATCACATTTTTCTTTTTCAAACACAGGCCAACGTGCGACTCTTGATTGGACTTAATAACCATTTGACCTCCGAAGACGAGAGTGTATTCCACTTCACCTCTCTTCCGGTTAGTTAACAACCCAGAGTTGCTTACGCTGTGAATTGAGTATCATTTCAAATGCGTGTACGCTGAATTTTGGATGTTATAACCTAGGTTCGATTTGTCAATCGAACCTACGTTACTAAACCAGTAAATATTTGCGTTCTTTTGTTGGTCAAGTATGTGTTTTGGCGATGACTCGAAGTGAACACCAAAGAAATGAGAACATCGGGCGCTGTAGGTAACCAGTGTGGTGAATTTGCAAATGATTTTGCAGGTTGTCGGTGGAAGTCAAGTTTTTCTGGGTTTACCATCCACTGTGAAGCATGCAATCACGCCTTCGAGTCCCCTCTATGAGCTATCTATTCAGGTGAGGCTTAAAGTGAACCACTGCAGGTTTTCCTGTTGGATTCCAGTTGAAATTTTTGTTAAGTCTTTTGTGTTATTACTTCTTGCGATTGAGAAGCCCCCAAATCGCAGGTTCGACCTTCTGAGTCACCACAGGGAGGCTAACAAGCCAAATAGAAACTTACTTGTGAAGGTGATTCCAATTTGGTGGGCCATGGCTCAGCTGTCTGCCCGTGGACGTTATGACTTTTCTTTCTCTCGCTAGATTGTCCTTCCCATGTGCTTGACGTTCAATCAAACCTTTTGAATGAACGTCCAGCTAAAAAGATTGGACGAACGGAGCTTTTCCGGAGATTTGACCAATCTAGACGCATAAAGTAGCGTTTTTGAACCACAAGTCCCATAGTTGCCTTATTCTGAACACTGTCCGCCTATTCCTGAACAATCGCACATCTTTTAAGTACAAGGCCCGATGTAAATGTTTCAAATTTTTTTGTGGAGAAGGGATATTCCTGAAAGAAAGCACTAGCTGCTCAAGTTTTATTTGTTAAGAGTGCAATGTTGTATAACGCAGGATATGGAGGATGCTGATGTTGAAATACTGGTTTTGCTGGAGGGTGTGGATGCTTCTACTTCGAGTAAACTTCAAGGTTCGAACGATTTTTGCATGATTTTATGGAAAGCTTATTATCCTCCTGTGACCTTGATCTAAATACTCTTGTCTTTTTAAGTGTCGTTCAACGATTTTACTTATCTTAAGAACTTTCCTGTGATATCAGCGCGACGTTCTTATCGGCCCTCTGATATCTGCACCGAGCACCGTTTTGAGTACGCTTCCAACTCTTGATGTTTCTAGTTTACAGGCGGTTCGTTTTCCTTTCTCGGAAAATTATTATCTGCCGTACCGCATGTATCGTTGTTGATTTCTGGTCATTGTTGATCAGTTTATTAGTTAGGAAGATGATTAAAGTAGGACACAATTTTTTTTGCCACTTGCTGAGTGCGGTACTATTGCTTTCGTGGAATCAGGACAATAGTGGCGCGCACACAGAGTGGTCGACGATGTGTGGTAAGTTGTTTAATCATTATGCTAAGATTGCCATGTTGCATGCTATCTAGAGTGCCTTTGCCCCAAGGAGGCCTATAATTGAGAGGAGCCTTTGAAAACATATGAGCTTGTTACGTTAACTTGTGTTATGTAGAGTTTTTAAATGTTTAGTGTGAATGTTAGGAAATTTGGCTAAAAGGCTTTCTCGACGTGGGCTAAGTGTACGTTTTCGTCTTTGTCTAGGACTTCACAAAGTTTGACTCAGTGTTGCCAGTCTCAGTCAGTGTTCCCACAAGACCTATGGCAAGTTTCCCTTCATCTCCAGCTGTGTCTGCTATGCGTTTACCCGGACTGTCAAATTTGCACCGAGCGCCGGACATCAGACAAAATCTTTTGGAAAGTGGGGGCAACAGTTTGGAGGCGCGTCATTCCAGCACGACTTCAAGTACGGATAGCTTAGGAGCATACAATGCAGAGGGCCAAGATACATTGACTGGATTAAGAGTGGGCACACCACAAAAGCACACGGTTCAGTGGAGTCGCAAGGCTATGGTGAGGAGCATGCCGGATTTGCTTGACAGTGAAATTCTTACTGCGTACGACGACGAGGAGCCTCAGTTTAAGGGACAGCAAGAACTTGAACAAAGGGTACGAAGGACAACCTTCCTCCCGTTTCATATGCTAACACTCCGGTGGAATGAGTAAACTATTTTGAAAGGCCTTTCTGTATTATGCTAATATTTGGAAGTTGACAAATGTGAGTGCAGGCTCTAATTGCAGAAGCTAGGGCACATCAGTGGAAACAAATGGTGATTGAATTGGCATCTGGCATACAGGATACGCTGCAGCAACCCACAACAGCAGCTTTTGCTGATGCTGGACCTCTAATTGCCACTGCTCAACTTGCGTTATCGAGAGTCATGAACCCCAAGTAACCAGAGAGTCATATCGGTGAGACGGTATTGGCTGTTCAGGGAAGCTTTATCATCATACCGGCGTTTTTTTGAGAGGTCCTTCGTGAAGCTTGGAGACAGTCTTTGTCTCAGCGTTACATTCTTTCCAATTTTTATCCCCACCCTGCGTCTCTTGGGCTTCTGGAGCGGTAGTGAGCTGGTATTGGCTTGATTTGTCACAACTCAACCTAGAAAGAGTGTGACGTTCAATTTTATGACAGCCTTTTCTTCTCTTTCCTACATTTCAGATCCCACGGCTTTCAGTAGTCAAGTTGTTACAAAGTTAGGAGGTCAGATATTGAGCCTGCGAAGGTTCTTAAGTTTTGAATCCGTGTTCAGACATGTAGAGGCCGATTGGTATAGAAAGAGTCGAGACCGGTGGGGGTTAGTGGATCATATCTTTCGCGGTGGAATGGCGCTTTGTCGATCTGCAACGAAATCCATAAGTTTAGAACAGTTAAAAGTAGGCGAAGATTGAGATTATTCCTATACAAATAGAGGTCATCAATTCTAGGTGTGTTGCTTTTGCTCAGATTGTGTGTTGGGCTGAATCATGGGCCTACTCAGATGCATAATGAGGTTCGATGAGTCCTCTTCGGTGGCAGGAGTAAATTTTTCTGCGACCCACTAAATCTGCTGGATGGGTCGAAGTGGCGCACATTAGGGCAAGTTTTATTCAAGGCCCAGAAATTCATGTGACTTTAGGGCTTGATGAGAGTTTTACTGATGAGAGTTATTCGTCCGGGCTGTTATTCGGAGAGCTTCCACATGTCAGTAAGATAAATTAGGTGAGCCCGAGTATTGCTCAAAAATCTCGCGAAGTCTTCTAGGAACGGTGGACATGTATTTTACCTATTACCTTCTTGTGAATTCTGTACTCCTTATTTCCACCAATCAGTTCCATGCCTACAATGATAAGAGGCTGCAATGGGCAGATATGCACCGATAGAATCTAGGTTTGTTTAGAAATACACTGATATCGGGTGTCATGAAGGTCCAAATTTGATGAGCAAATGACACTGCTGCATTTGTCTGTAGACGATGTGCAGTGGCAAGCTTTCACGTTTACAGACGTGTGTGGACTAGCTAGTTTAGTCTACAACAAAGCGAAGAAAAGTTCTGAGAACAATACTTTGTTTTTGGAGAGTTAGAGGAGGTTACTGAGACCGTTTAGATTGTGCACGGTGAAGGCAACCTATGCAAGGTGCCATGGATTTCATTCCATGTAATGTACCTCTTCTGACACGTCAAAACATGCAAACAAGTATACATAGTTTTGGTAAGTACTCGAAATGGTTTTAGAGTGCGTCCTGAACGTCCTCGTGTATGTATCTTTCATACTGAATGAAGAGTTTTTGTGTCTAAATATGCTTGCGGGTTGCTTCTATTTCTTGGAAGGATTCAGACTATATTGCTCTTGGCTGTGAAGAACCGAGTCCGAGAAGTTTGTCACTACGGTTGAAGACATTGTAATAGATACACCACGACTATGCTAGATTCGTACCCATCTTGGGCTCTACGTAGTCGGTAGAACGACCAGTGTCAGTAGCAGTAACAGTAAGGCAGCCAGGTGGGAGCTTCTTACCCCTACACGGCCACCCAGTTAGCTATCTAATTAACCTGTCTAGCATATTCCAGTAATTATGAGTAGTTCTACAATTCCGTTAAGCTGGTTATCTGCGACTCCACGGTGGCAAGGGACGACTCCATGGATGATCGCGTAATGGCATATTAGGTGAGTTGAAGAAAATATCTCATATCATGTCCTGATGGTGAAACTCATTACCGAATAGTCATGAGAATGTCTTCACCCATTCGAGAAATAAATGTTGCCCTGTTGAGTTCAGAGCTCGGCTTCACTTTCAACACTTTTCCGGTGGTGGTGGTGATGGGTTGACTGCGAGGTGGCAAATGCTTAAACCTGTGAGTTTTATTGAACTCATTGAACCGATCACCTTAAACTTTGTGATGTGCCCAGACAATGGTCTTTAGTTAATTGCATCTGCATAATTTGAACGATATCTCAATAGACTAATTTGAATCCTTCTAATTAATGATGGTTACAGCAGTTTCTTGCAGTATAGTTTTGAAAGTGTAACGTCGACATTACAACTATTGGTATTGTTACTCTGATCGTAATCATGCGACACGGTTGATACTTCAATCAGCATGTTTATCCCGTTTGGAATCGTCAATAGAACGGTGAAACAATATTGTTGTGTTGTTGTAGAGATACTTTATATGTCTACCTGGAGTAGCTTGTCTTTCAACTGGATATTGAAAGCGGTTGAATTAAGCTTTAAAAATCTATAAACCATGTCATTCATGCAGCCATCTTTATTTAATTCATCTGGATGGTGGATCCTGATCATCCCTCATTCCTTTTTTTAGTATCGTCTCAATTCTTTCAGTTTTTTGTTTTAATCAACATGGCCATTCACATACATTAATCACCATTATATTGGTATCATATATGAATGACATGAGGGGAAGGTCTATATGATACGAATTTATCATGTTTATTTTGCAAGGTTGTATGGTTGTAACGTTAAGGATATTCTCGCCCTCTAAATCACATAATTAAATTTATTTATTCAGGTTTGAACTTAACTCTAGTTAGAGTTAGGTTTTGCTATTCATTGTAAAAGAGAGTAAATCAAAGTTCTCTTTGAACTCTCTATTGTGAACGTAGTCAGTAAAGATTATTACTTGTTCCACTGAACGTAATTCGGAAATGGTGAACCACTTCTCTATGGGAGATCTTGTGTATGTTTGTGTCGGTGCGTTTGTGGTTCTGTTCTTGTGAAGTCTTTGCAATAATTTGTACCAGATTATCAAGAATGTACTCGATGTGTCGATGCTGGACGTGAACATGTTTCCAAGGCGTTGAGTTCCAAACTCATTGCACTCGGCCTGAAGAATTTCCGAGAAGTATCGAGAAGTAAAACAAGTCTCTGGATTCGACATAAATGCTCACGGCTTTGAATTCCAGGACGAGGATGACCGCAGAGAAGTTGGGAACTCCACGCGTTGTAAGTGTCGACCAGGGCCTGGAATAGGCCTTGGCAAGGTAAGTAAAAGGTAACCTGTAGGTCTCTACCTTTACATTACCTTTTACTTTACTCGTGTCACTATAATCTACATTTACTCTTTATTTCTACCTTATGATAATTACCGGGTTACCCGATACGGATTCTAAAAGATTCAAAAGTTACTTTTAAATCAGGGTTACCGGGTAGTTACCCTATTACCTCTACCCTAAAAGGTAAAAGATCAGAGATTACCCTATCACCTCTACCCTAAAGGGTAAAATGTAAAGGTAATTTATCTTTTTAGTATCGTTTACCTGGATCGTTTTAGTAGAATGCACAGAATTGTATTTTGAATAATTTTGAGAATGTACATATTTTTGTTTTGTTACCTGGTAATTATAGTGTAACCCATATGGCTCTACCTTTACCCTACCCTATAGCCAAACCTCTACCTTTACCCTTCCCTTTTACACGGTAACCCTCAAATGTTACCTTACCTTGCCTAGGCCTAGCCTGGAAGACGATGAGAAATACAAGGATTTGTTAACATCTTGAATTTGTTGAAAATTAAGTCTAATACATTCAATTACAAAGAATAATTATTGAACTGATTTGTAATGAATATATGATAGATTATTAGATGATTAAGTGTGTTACTTTGAAGTATGTGTTAAAATCTAAGTGTTGGGATTGTGAGAATAATATGAATGATGGTGAGTGGATATTACTTTTGTATAAATTTTGAAATATGAATCAAAGATGCAAAACAAATATACAAATATAATACAAATATTTTTCATATTTGAATATAATGATGATATCTTATGATAATAACTATTTTATTTAGTGTAACAATAAATTTTGAATTAAGTCGAATTTTCAGAATTATGAATGACAATTCATGAAATAACAAAATAATATTCAGTATGATAAGTTAGTAAAATTTGCACATAGAAATACATGAAGTTGCTGCAAATTGAAGTATAAATGTTATGATCAAATAAAGCTCTCATCCATATTATTGATTACTTTACTAAAACAATAGATATATAATGCACAATTAAACATAAATGAGGGTAAAAGTAAAAGTTAAATGATTATGAAATTAAAATTTGATAAATTCAAATGATGTATTTTTAGAAGCCTCATGAATATATTAAAATTTAATTTGGATAGAAAATTATAAATATTTATTGTTAATTATGAAAAAAATGAAATTTCGAAATAAAACTACTTCAATATTTATTATTGGTAAATTGAGATTTATTTTTTAATCTCAATTATTCAAAGGTTTAAATTTGAAAAAATTATATATATCAATAATAAATTAATTAAATTCAAAAATGTAATTTTAGATGTATTATGTGTTCAATTGCCATGGAAATAATATTTTAACTTAAGTTTGTGATGATAAATTAACAGTAATTTAATTTACAAATTTTTCATTATATTTGATTTCAAAATAAATTTAAATTTTATAATCATTTGAATTAAACATATGTTGCAGAGCCCTACATTATATGTCTATGCCAAATCCACCCATGGCCATGGATTTTAGGTGGACAAAGTGTAGAGATTATTGTTCATGGATGGGCAAGGGTGAAAATTGTTTCGAGGTGGATATGACATATCTTTCATATGAGTATGGAACCATGACCATCAATACTGCTTGAAACTTGAACTCTAATGTGTTTTTCATGTCTATACAATGTATTAACATGACACATGTCATGTTAATACATGTCACTTACGTTGAACTCATTGGATATCAAAATAATGCGCATTGCGCAAAATAAAGGGAATTGCTAGGCACACACCCACCCTCCTGTGCATACATCCACTCGTCCACAAAGCACATTTTTGCGTCAAAACACCAAAAGCGCACTTGTTGACCTTGGAGCGCAGGCGACTCAAGCTGTATCCCTTCCTGTGAGCAAAGGCAAAGATCTCCGTCTCGGCTTCTTCCAACGACGTGTAGACGCGATCCAGCGGCGGTGGCTCCATCTTTAGTGATATGGTGCCTCTGCGAGTGAGACGGCTACTTCTGTCAATCTGAGCGTGCTATTAAGGTCACGGGCGGTCATCCCTCTTTTGTGGGGGGATGTGTGCCTAGCAAAATAAATTATTTCATGCTTGCACCAGGGAATATTTGTATAGGTTATTGAGATTTTATTTCCAATTGTGTTATTAGAATGGAGATATCTAGCTCACTAAATGCACAAGTAATCAAAAAAATCAAAGAGTACATTGTTGAATTATGTCAAATGTGATTATTTAAATAACATGGATAGACATAGATAGCTCTTGATAATTTTGATCTGGGTAGAGGTACAAATTGAAGTAAAACGTTGAACTTTGATTTGTTGTTCAAAATTATATTAAATCAGATATCAATTTTTTAAGAAAGATTAAAAAAATCAAAAAATAAAAGTGTAAGAATATGACTTAATTTTGGTAAGTTGATTTTACAAACTTGAAAATCCAATATACATAATTTCAAATAGTTGATTTGTTTAAACAAGTTTATGTTATGAAGTATTTTTTATTGCATTTATATTACAATATTTAGTAAAATATTGAATAAAATATTTCCAAAATAAATTTTTAACTAATTTCAATAATTGGACATAAAAATAGTTCATGTGAAAATTAAGAAGCAATCAATAACTTTGTTTGGAAATAAGATTGATTATTTATATTTGAATAAGGAGATGAAAATGTAAATTCAATGAATCGAATTCAACAAAAAAGATGAAAAGATCAAAAAAAATATATCATATGCAAAGTTCATACAATATTTGATTTCTTGAAATCCCAAATCATCTGTATTTATAAATTTACATTTACATTAAAAATTTGAAATTCAACCTACAGACAATGATTTGTCAAAAGATAATGATTCAACTATTGAAAAATATTTGTGAGTTATTAAGACTTTAGAGTGCATGCACAAGTGTATTATTAGCCAAAATTGCATGCGGATGAGAAATAGTTGTGTTTTCTAATATTCAATAAAGTTTACTCTAGATCCAAACATTCAATAAAAATCCGGTAGCGCTGTATGCATCTTTGAGTCAAGTAAAACACAAATATATAAGTTTCACACAATAGTCTATAGTTGCAAATTATAGTGGCATGAGTAATTTTTTAAGCTTTACTTTTTCTTCTACAATGATGTATAATGATATCAGAATTATTTTTGGTTGAATATGGATAACGTAATCAGAACCTAATTCACACAAATCTGATTTTCTTTGCACTTCTTAATCTCATACTCGCAGTCATATACTTTGTGGGCAATATCATTGCTCCTACAGTGGACACAATGCTATGACACATCATAGCATGCTAGACTAGAAAGAATGAGCATCACTCTAAAATTGTTAATAATACAAATGTAAGAATATATATCATGGGATGCAATATCAAGTAGACCCATGAAATAAGAAGTTAGTGGCACCATCTAGGTAAGTTATAATGTACGCAGTGAAATGTGGGATATGTGAAAAAAATACGCCCCATACAACTTGATTGATTTTCTGCTGTAGTTGGATGTCCACCTGCAAAAGATCCAACTATAGAGACTCATCACACAATCATGAGTACCCAGTGTCAATCCCAAAACTTTAATCCAACTAAAGTAACCAATCAAGCTGCAATACCTACAAATGAGGAGGAAGCAAGTATGGAAACTGAATCTTCAACTTTGAAATAATTTGGCTAGAAGGTCCAACAATATGTTTCATTCGCTACATATATTTAAATACATCCAGGTGCTCGAGTGATTAACTCTAAGCTCGAATTTCGAATGTTTTCTTATATTGAGCGGTAAAAAAATGGGAACCATTCTACAAAATCTGATATTGCTGGAGCAGATCGAACTATTCAGCATGAGGAGTGTAAGACAGTCATCAGCTCTGCATGAGCCTTCAGAAGATGAGTCGTACACCTCGTTAGGTGCAGAAGGTATGCAACCTGGTCGCGAGTGCCAACGAGCTCAGTTCCTGCTCTGCTCACCAAGTAAAGCCGTACGGCAGAACACTCAGACTCGAATGCGTGATCGCTCTGATCGCCTGCATCTGGGAGCCTCAGCGAAGAGGCCATCTGCCATGTATCCCAGGCGAAGAGAACAGTTGACACTCCGAGGCCGAACGAATGCCATATGAGGTTATGAATCGAAAATCAACAATTGACAATTGAGAAGACGAGGATCAGATAGGATTTTCATTCACTAAGCTCTGAATGATCTATGTGAGCTTGGAATTGGAGAAGCCCATACAAAGAATAATATTTCATTGACCAGTACCGAGAAACTCGTACTTCTGATCTTGTTGCACTTGGCTCCGTTGCGGATCAGGTAACCTACTCAAGGAGCGCGGCCTGCATGGTCTGCTGGGAGTTTGAGGTCTCTGTGTAGGATGTTCAGGTGGTGGCAGATAGATCCACTTGGCTAATCATGCATCTGAAGCCGTCGAAACGTACGAACCATGTTAGAGAAGTCGATCATGCTAAAATCCATTCTTACACTCATCACGCGTCGGTTCACGTTTCCTGTACTGTCAAAAGCTTACTCGTCCAGATTCCTCCTCGTTCTCAGTATATGAACCCATCAGGTGTCGTATCATTCATTCATTCATTCAATCATCAAGTGTTCACTCTTCGAAGCCTCGACCGTGTACTGACTGCTGTGTCCCTCCTGCCCGAAGTCCAGTCCACAACATGGAGCCCACAACAAAACTGAAGACATCCTACGTCGTGTTCGTCCTTATTGTGATGATGCTGCTGAGGCTCACTGTGGGGACCCATGCAGATCCACAGGAGCAAAAGGGCGCTGATAATGTTGAGAATACTGAGTATCTGCGGCTGCACCCATTGACTGGTGCATTAGAGCAGCCATTGCATTCTTCTCCGAGCTCCGCATCAGCACTGACTTCCAGACTACTCGAATCCCAGAAGCTAACTACGACTGGGCCACATATGCCTCCCCTCCGAACACTGACAGAGGAGTCCGTGTCGGAGGAGCCGATCGTAGTGCAAACCTCGGAAGGAGCGCGCAGTCAGCTGGTCAATCTGTCGACCACCCTGGACTGCGATGCCCTGGACCTGTCGAACGTGAATCTGTTGACCCTGCTGACATCCTGCTCCTCCTCGCTGATAGACGAAGCAATCAGCACCGACTGCTGCACGGAACTGGTGAAAATCGAGAAAGATTTTACAACATGCTTCTGCTCCGTGATCTCCACTCTTCTGGGCTCGTCTCTCGAAGACTTGGCCATTCCGACGCTCATCAGCGGCTGCACGGACCTCAGCTATCCATGCGCTTGATGCATCAGAGGCACCGGCAACTTAATTGGCGACTGGCCTTCTTTGCGGCGTGCATGCTGTGGATGCACTCAACTGAGGCTAGAATCCGATTTTCTACATACATACTTAAATACAAGTTCAGGCCCGAAGTATGAACCGTCGTCTGATAGACCACATGACATTGCCATACCACTCTTTAGTGAGCTCCGAGGATCGGAAATTAGAAGTCCAGGGAGACGCACGTAGCCTACGCTCGTCTGTTTCGTGGGCTTGCGTTTAGACTGGCCTTATACAGTCCGTCACCAGGAGGGAGCATTAGAATGATATGGACATGGATTGTGCTCGAGTGTGAGATGTAACACCCTTGAAATGTAACCAGCTGGACTCCTAATGAACTTATGTCCGTGTCAGACATTATGTGTATGTCCTGGTTTTCTTTGTAACCTGTTGCTTGCGCTTGGCTCTCGTCTCTGAGGGAAGGTCTGAATCACGACAGCAAGCTTGACTGCGAAACACAAAATGGCCACAAGTGCGACTCCTTTCTTGAGCGGAATTGCGGCATGTATCGAGTATCGAGATCTGTTGTTTATCCCTCAGCCGCGCTGTAACACCGCTAATTCCTGGAAAGAGAGTACTTGCCCGGTAACTTGGACAAATGCTTGTACACCTCATGAGCAGAATAAAGAAAATTAGACAATAATTTACAAATTAAGTTTCATATGTCATGATCAGGATTCTACAAATATTGCATTGGGCCGTGCTTGTGTCACATTTATAATAAATGATTTTTTATACATATATATAAGTTCAGAAGTTCAAGTTTGGAAAGTCCATTGTTGAAAAGTTAGTTGTTCTTTGCTCTTGTCCGCAGTTGACAAGTTGCTGATGATGAAATGTCGTCAAAGAAGCACAAAATACCATTTAATGTCTCTCCCGAGCTTGAGTATGGGCTCAAGATCTTCATCTTATGATATCAATACATCAGTTTTATGCTGCTTTTGCCAAGTATGGAGCCGAGAAAAAAAAACTTACAAAAAGTCAAAAAGAAGCGCAATGGCATTGGAACAAAGAAGAACTTTAAGTTTCCATAGCTTTACTCACAACATATCGCAAAGTAACACTTGGCAGAGTGTAGTGACTATCTTGCTATGTACTAGATGTGAAACAAACTTTCTTTCATACTACTGCTTTTGTGAATACTATCCATAAACATTTTGTTGGGTCTAGTGATCAACTCTATTTTGATCTCAACGTAAAGATTGACGACACAATTCTACTAACTTTTATTTGATACCGAAACTGAGATTATTCCTATTGATTGGGTGAGAGAGAAAAAATGTACTCCACATTACAATGCTTCATGGAATTCATCGAATTTTATGAAGCATGAATTACTTTTGAACATCAATTTTCCAAACTATGTACGTTTATTGGAGGCTTTGCTTGTCCATATCCTAGTATTACGTATGTGAAGGGTGATTTCTGTGTGGACAAAGATGAGTACAAATGTTACTTAATGAATTTGTCAGTCTATTACATCATGCATAGTAAGCAATTCAAGTAAATTAAAATTGTGATCATATTTTTCATCAATAAAAATTGGTTGACACCATAATAAACTGATTTATGAGAATTTTAGCAATTGCCAAGTTCAAAGAGGCCTCGCAATTGCCAACTTAGCCATGCATCATGACCAGAACTACTTAAATTAGATATTTAGAAGTTTTTGCGCCTAAATTACCTAAAATAATTCTTGTGAGGCGCCTAAATTAAGGCCATTGCGCACCATGGCCATAGCCCCATTAGACTTCTCTTATCCAAATTCAATTTTAAAAAACAAGCGTGGCTCTAATGCTAAATATGGTTTGAAAGTTGTCTTAGACTAGACTGTGCTTCTACTTCAGCCGTCAGTGAAGTGCAGTGTCTTTTCTGCATCATGTTTGATCGTGAGGAGAATGTTGGCACAAAGCGCAAGATCAAGACCAATGTGCAAGATTGCAGTGCAACAATTTGCTACGACAACATTCAGCTTCACATGAAGAAGCATCACACTGTCAAATTTGGACAATATGAAAAGCTGCGATCAAAAGCGGAGCATGAATATTTTTTGATGACTTCAAGTATTCACTTTGTGTTTGAAGCTACGAGCAATCGTGAGATTGTCTTCATCATCGACAAAGTCATCGTTGAAGTAATTGTCAGTGAATTGATGTATTCAGCAGAAGGTGAGACCAATGATGTTGATGATGACGACAAGCAAGAGCTTGCATTTGGACGTGAGGCCGAATGTGCGATTGTGGGCGCTAACTGCCGTGTCAATGATGTGAAGGCGATGGAGCGAGCAATGTCACTTTTCAAACACGAGATCGGAAGCAGATAATGATAACAAAATGCCATCAACCTATACTATCACAATCATAAAATCCAATATCCAGCTCTTCAACCTTGCCATTCTATACGTCGCGTGTGGAGCATCGTTCTGCATGACAGCGAACATCATCAGCGAGACATATCAAGTTCCAATGCTCAGTCGCAGCGTTTTTGCTCTTGTGAGAATGTTAGCAGCTTCGTTAGAGTAGTTTGTGCAGCCAACTTTCAACGCCTATCACAAGTGCTGAAAAAACTTGGGTTTTTTGCTAGTGCTGAACTCAACATTGCACCAGAGCACATCATATTTGACTGTTCGTCTTCGTGTGGATGTGAAGAATAAGCGCGTCGTCATCAAACTGCACGGATGCGCATTGTCGATTTTTGAACAACACACATGTGAAGTCATGTTCAACATGATTTCTAACTTTCTTGACGTACTTTTTTTTCATTGGAGGATTTGTCTTTTCGGCGTGTCGAGTGATGGAGCTCAAAATATGACTGGCCGTGTGATTGGCATCGTGACAAGCATCTAGGTAGAACTTCATAATGATTGTAATCAGATCCAAATCTGGTGCGGAGCGCACCAGCTCGATCTAGTTATGTAGCTTATCATGAAAGTAGTTGTGAAGGAGCGCTTCTTCTTTGTGATGACGGGTTTCATTTCACATCTCACGCAGCAGCAAAACCTGATCGCAGAAATGAGTACGATGTGCCCTTGTGTTGTAAACCAATGTTTTTCTACAGACAAGATTACAACTTGGTTCAAGAAGCATTGGCTTATGCTCTTAGCTTACATTGAATTGAAGCAACATGCAAGTGCTGAAGAAGAAATGAATTTATTAGACTTGCGCCGAACTCCTAAGAAGAAATGAATTCTGTTCTGGATGTGACCACAAATATCATGAAGGGGTTGCTATGCGCTCACACTTCTGAAAGTGCAAGAATTTGTCGTCGGACTCGCATCAAGGATTAAAAGCATTCTCGACGCTACCGATGAAATGGATCGTAACGAGTTGTTGCAATATGTTGGTCTAGTCTTCGTCAAAGCATGTGATTGCATCAAGAGAATTGTTGTGTAGTGATGTAGACAACAGCTCATTCGTCGATCCACTTGTGCTACGATCTGTTTTACTGCAAGAGCTTGTTCGTGCTTCCACTGCCGATTCGATTCGCAAGGCTCGTAGGCAGAGCCTTCGCGTGCAGCATCGATACTTGGCGACACAAATAGACATCATTGTCGACGAGCAAAAAACTATTCTTTTAGTTTATAGCTATGAGCATGTGTTGTAAGAGAGGATTGATGACTATAACCAAAAGACATCCTTTGACTATGCTTTGAACTTACTCACTGCTCGGTTTTCAAACTTGAACAAGTTTTGCTATGGCAGTGCAACTATATTTCCGCAATGAGTCTTTCAGACTTTGGACTTGAAGATGTGCTACAGTCAAAGCAGTATATGCAAATCGAGACACTTGCGGTTTGCGATAACTAAGGAGCCACCTCGCATATTGATTACTGATCAATCAATTAATAGATAATACACATCCTTTTGAACAAATAAATTTCCAAATCTCATTTATTATTTATTGGCCTTCAATCTTGACTAAATGTGCCTACCGCCTAAATTAATTCGGAAACGGTGACTATATTAAGCTAATTTAAGCTATTGCCTTTTATAAGCAGGCCTGATCATGACTCATGATGCATTGTATCATATGAAAAATAGAAACACAAAATTTTATTTTCCATCCCACAAAGATAGGGTTTTAAATGTGCGAAATATTGAAGCTTTGAAATTTAGTTACATCATTATCAAGTTTGCATCTTGATAATGATGGGTGTAATACTAGTACAACAACTAAAGGGTGAGGTGGATAAGATTGGTATAGATAGAAACAAGAAATAATATATGACAGCAGTGAGGAATGGAAGGTGTTTGGTAGGATAAAGAGAAAAACAAAAGTGATTAGCCGCATACGACTTAATGATCTCTTTAATTCAAACTAGACGTTGAGTTCAGGACGAAAACGGAGTTAACCATCTTCTCGCTGAGCATCTGGAGCAAACTTCACGCGAACTATTCATAAACGAGATATGATCAAGGAGGAGGAGATATGTTGCAGAGAATGGTGACTCCTAATTCTTATGACCTGCTTTTTTGCTTTGATTTGTAAAAGAATTCTCCACAACCCGTATGATGAATCGATTATGTATTGAAGAGAGGGTAACTTCATTTTAACAGATGCAGGTTGCAGAGTGCACTGTACTAACGACAACACCTGATGTGAATTTGTGAATTACATGTTAATTGGGTTATCAAAAGACATTGAAAGGATAATGTCTGTATTTGTGTTCAATTTTAATTGAACACAAATATACACACAGTTATACAATACGTTAAGAAGGGAGCCACCGTTGTAGCGTGTATGAACAAGGAGGTATAGCTCAGTGGTAGAGCAATCGGCTGCAGTCCGATAGGTCATCAGCTCAATCCTGGTTGCCTCCTTTTTAAAAAAAAGTAATTAACTATAATACATAATTAATATATATATGCTGTGGACAGAATTGTTGGTTCTACCAAGCGAGACAGTCTCGTCAAAAATACGAGAAAACTCCGAAACATACATAATTCTGGGAGGCTACATTGAAAATTTAATTTGTGTTTACAAAACAAGGGGCAATCATAACACAAAGGTAAATATTGCAAAGAGATGCACATCATGATGTCAAACCACGTTCACAGGGCTTCAGTTTGCCATGATAATTGAGACAGAGTATTTATCAAAGCTTACTCATCATACCTATTTCGACCACTGGTCATCTGAAAGTAAGTTGGGTCAAAAATATAAATACATTCAGTTTGATTTCTTCACTTTTACGTATGGAGCAGAAAATATTTCCACGTGAATATGTATCTTAGATGAAATCAAATGTTTTATTGCACAATAAGCTTCTGAGAGACATTCCAACCAACATAAATATCTACTGTTTCTCAAGGGAAGGCATTGTCAATTTTCTAAAAAGTGATCACAAAATCAATACTTTCAGAAACTCTAGAATCTAGTACATTCACGGAGATCAGGTTGAAATTTGCGATGCACCAGGCAGCTCCATATATTGTGCTAAGAAAGTAGCTTGTTACATGCTATGCGATCATAAATATATATATACAGCAATGGTCATAATAAATTTTGACCACATAAAGAACTTCTGTACAGGTCACACGGAATGACACACCTCGATACCTTCAATTATACTTGACCAACTTCCGAGACCTGAACCTTAAGACCAACCGGACTTCATAATCTAGACTTTACAAACGGTACCTGAGTTTACAAGATTTGTAGAGTGCAACTAGTTGAATAGGCCAGACCTCTCTCCAAATCAAACTCCCAGCCAAGGAAAAAGATCCGACGGTGAAGAGAAATAAGAGTCAAGAGAGGTGAGCCCTCAGGGGAAAGGAGTGTGTGCGAATCCTCGTAGCCTTGTCTTTGAGTTTTGAAGAAAGGTACTTTCACCCTTAACAGCAGTCTGTTTTACAGCAACCCCACGGCGCAAGTCAGGATAACCCACGCTTTGAAAAGATGGGAAACATCAAACAATCGAAGTTGAAATATTCCGTATTGTCAAGAGCACACACATCTCTCAATCGGGAACTCATTGACTATGTGAGAAGCAGGAGGACGGCGCCAGTCTGATTCTTTTCAGTCTGTCGATCTAAAGCCAGCTTCCCTTATTAAAACACGCTCTCCTATGGGCACAATCACGGGCAACAGGTCCCAGACTGTTGCTGTCTGATTCCGTGGTTTGAGTTACTCTGTTGAAAACAGTACCAGCATCACATGAGCTTTCCAGTTTAACGAAAGATCCAGAGCTCTCGACCTTTCAAAGTCTCTCAACTCTTCTTCCGAACATTTTGACCATCTCACAGTAGCTCTATATATCATCGTCAGTTTCTCTGCTACTACTGAGATACTTGGAGGAAGGATGCTTTTGGCCTTCAGATTCCTGTCAGAAGATAGAGTCCTTCTGCTCCTGTGAATATGGACAAAAGAAGGAAGTCGGAGTGGCTTTCAGCGAAGAAGTAACTCACGGAGATTATTTGTGATTAATGGTCATGACCTCTGTCCGAATTTCTATCATGATGACTCCAGTCAAAAATGACCACTAGGCCTCTTGGCAGCAGCGTAGGCTACCTTAATCTGCGAGTGAAGATTGCTCGTGTAGTTGTCGAGAGTAGATACAAGCGCTTCCAGTTCAGTGACTTGTTTGTCAATGACCTCCATGTCTTCCAAGTACTGGTTGAAACGTTCATTTTTCTGTTTCAGTCTCTCCACAAAAGAACTCAATCCCGAGGCAAAATCTCCATAATTGTCGTACTCTGTGGCTGTCCTCATGTTCATGCTCTTTAGTAAGTCATACTCGTTGTTTGAGCACTGGTCAGTGGGACAGCTAATAAGGTCAGTACTCGCAAGATAACCAGCGATCACGCTTTGACTGAAATTAGCACATACAAGCAGAGAGAGGCGGGTCGACTACAAGTGGATGACTCAGAAATCAAAACCAAAATCAGAGCAGGTAAACATCGATGGGATAACGTTGAACCAAATGTAGAAGAACGATATTTTTTCTGCAATATTAGGGTTCAGAATGTAGGGGATGTAGGGATCAGAAGAACATTCACGCTTCGTGGGACGGGTGTCCTTGCTTACATCTATCGGATCTGCACTACCATAGTAGGGTGAGAATCAATTGCACTGCCAAGCGGAAAACAACATCAACCGCACAGAGGAATTTCAAGAGCAGTAGAAATAACGAGGATAAGGGAAGATGAGAAAGTCGCAGTTACTCAAGCCGGTCGACAAGCAGCCGTACCTGAAGCTCGCCTTGAACAACGCTCGCGAAGCTAACAAAGAGAGATTGCAACGCCTTGGCCAAAGCATCGTCGTTCGGGTTAGCCGGATCCGCCATTGCTACCAATTTTCTTGCCAAATCTCCACAAAGAAATTCAAATCACATGACTACGAACTCTCGTGCCCATTCATTTACAGCCTCATTCACTCGACCACAACGATCTGCGAACTGTCCCCGATCGCTAAATTGTGCTTGATTCAGTTGCAGCCGCAATCGCAGAGTACCCCAGTCGCAGAGTACCATGCCCAACCCAATCCGCTGACAATTCGCCAAGCCTCGAGCTTCATGGCACGAACGCAAGTGAATGACTGCGATACCCACAACTCGCGGCAACGAGAATGGCTTCATGCAAGCTCTGTCTCGTGTTCGCACAGAAGACAATGGATGCATCAAATTTTTTGATGCATTCGCCTCACCATAGATATCAAGTGAAAAAACAACTTTCATCCCGAATTGTATCATACCCGAAAAATAAATGGGATTGATGTAGTGAGGAAGTTTGGTGAAAGAAACCCAAAAGATAAAAATCTGGTGATTATTATACTCGTAAAATTTGACAATTGCAAACTATAGAAGATTGAATATCATCAAATTCCAAGAATTCAAAACTAAAGTCTTATAAACTTACTAGATAACTTTGCAGAAACTAGCAATGTACTAAAAAAATAATAATGTAAACGAATATTAATTTAAGAATATACTGTAAAATATCTTTGTGACTTATGCATGAGAGGTAGAGAAGAAATACATGGTTGAGACCTTCGAATTAAAACACAATATCTAATACACAGATTTTGCTTCTATATATATGTAATAATGTGCATATACTTTCAGTATATGACAAAAATGACGGTGTAAAATGTGCCAAAGCTTAAAAGCTTAAAAGCTGTCTTTGTCACACATCACCTACATATATCAAACTAACAATAGCTTTACAGAACATCTTAGTAACGCTTTTCTAGAGGGTTTCATTAGCTATTTATGGATCGTGAATAATTAGCTCAATCTACAATGCTGAAACTTGTGCTTGAGCATAAGCTCTTCGTACATATGAACAATTTAATCTCAGATGTTCACCTATCTAGAATCTCTCTTATGGACAAGGAATTTCTTACAAGCAATGTAACTAGGACTTCAAAGTGTACGCTGTAAACATGAAACAAAAGCCTAGAAGATGATAGAAAGTTGTTGATTCCCCAAAAAGTCCTAAATGGCCTACTTAGATAATTATCAATCCATTTTGCTTCGTAGATACTCCAATCACCATAGTCTGAGATTGCGTTGGATACCATGTGCATGTCATCCTTGTTCATGGCCGAGTTATTAAAGGCTACTTATAAATGTGTTAACTTACTCTCTCCCTTCCACAATATTCCAAAACTGTCCAAGAAGAGACCGGAAATCAAATAGCGGACACATTGTACTTTTTACAAGAATCACGCAAAGCTGTAAAACTGACAAGTGTCAATAATAATCTTTTATACAATTCTACGTGGTAAGTAATTAAAATTGAAAACTTACTGGCATATTATTCATTCTCCATGGCATGCAAAGCATAGCTGTACTTTGTGGCATTTAATCTACTCCGATGTCTCCATTCGTCGCCAAAGTCCACTCGATAATTGTCCTCCAGAGAAAATCCAGTGCAATCTGCATCGTACGGTACATGTACCGCGTAGACTTGGTGTCTCATAACGCCGTCGTTTCGTACTACGTGCGAAGCGCGGTTGAGGCTACGTAGTCACAATTGTCGGCCCAGGTCGCAGCGGAGAAATATTGCTCGTCGTCCACGAACCGAAACGACAGAAAAAGCTTCGAACAAACTTGCGCAGCAGGTCCCAAGGCCAGACTGAATTAATGTCTGGTAGCAGGCAGACGATTGCACCTGCGAGCTCTCTCACAAAGCTTAGAACACAGTGACCCACGATGTCTAGATTGGAGCTGTTCACTGTGTGTGGTGGTCACAGAACGAGCTGAGTAATTGAATTTATGGCTTCGATTTCGATTGTGTATCTTGGTGATGGCGAGCGCTGGAGTGCGGGTGAATTGAAAGATGACTGTGGTTGGAATCCTGTTTGCTAACACCGTGTTCGGCATCGTTTTGGATTCCTCTTTTGCCGAGTCTCACATCGATGGAGAGCTCGAAAGAATTTTGTAGACCCCAGAACTTTGGCTGTCCGGCACGAGAGCTTTGGAAGCCAATGCACGAACTTCGTATGTTGGTTGGTGCAGAAGTCGTTTGCCTTCTCTGGTAAAATCCGGGTGAACGGTGACGTGAAATTTATGGGAAGGTGTCCGTTGTCAAGCTAAGAGGTTCCAAGATATGGTGCCTATGACGGCGACATTAGAGGCGCTCTGGCAGCGCCCTCAGCCCCTGGTTCTGTGCTCAGCGAAATCTCAGAGATTCCAGAAATGGATTCACCCCGAATTGGTTGTTTCCACGTCTCCAAAACGTGGAGGATTTTACATTCTCCACCTGCAGCAGAAGAAAAATGGTTGGACCTGTCCGGGTGCGAAGATCTATTCTCCAAGGAACAAGACATGGACGGTTTGTGCTGCCCAAGGAGAGGGAGAAAAAGGAGGGAGTCGTAATGTCGGTGAGTGGATGAAGCAGAAAATCGAAGAAGGAAGGAAGAGAGAGCTGCCTGTTGGTGAGAACGTGATGAGGATGATAGCCACGGCCACTGCTGCTCCCATTGCGCAGTACATTGATTCTCCGTTTACAGCCCTACACTCTCTGGATCCTCGTGTCAAGCAAGTACGATTACCCACACCTTTCATGAACCTTTCCAACTGTGAGTTTCACATGTTCTCTGTTACCGTAAATTTGCAATTACTTGCAATTCCGAGAGTGTTTGCATTTACCCTGGATTGAAGACCCACTTTAGATTTTTTAATGAGGCCCTCATTTTATTGCTTTCACTGCAGCATTGACTGACTCGTTTCTTGGACTTGCAGGCCTGGCTTCTTGCTTTGGTGGTACTGCCATCTAGAGCTCATATTTATATTCGCTTTGGAATCGTAGGACTGCTGGTCCTGGGTACTGTCTGTTCTCTCCCTCGTCGTATATGGCAGGTAAGATATGTGTTGAGATGGCTTCACTGCCTGGAAATGATTACTGTCATGTTTGTTCTCGTTCTGTCGTCGTCACGCTATACTCGTAACTCAGAAACCTGCGAAATTTTTGAGTTGGATCCTTGAAACAGTTCAGGATAGTCAAATGTTAGGATGTGGGTCTCGGTTTCGTTCGACATTTACTAGCTAAACAACGTCGTGCGTCTACTTGCAGATTTGAATTTGTTCCGTAGAGAGTATAAACCAAGAGAGCAGCTGAATTTCAACTGGAGTCTCTGATGTAGCATTGCTTCTTCAAGTTTCTTGCCTGTAGAATGCCGACCTGTCTTCGTACTGATACTTGTGTTCCTTGTGCAGGATCAGCTGGGTCGCATGTTTTTGTTGTCAGGATTTCTGTTCGTACTCACTGCTCTCGGGACCGATGGAGTGCCACCTGTTGTACAGCCCCGCACGCCTCCACCATCGCTGGAAGGATTGCCGGATATTCTTCCTTCTCTGACTGGTTATTCTTATGTAATTATGAAAATTGGTCCGCTGATGCTTACAAGGAAAGGTCTATCACTTGCTGCTGCAGCTTCATGTTTTTCATTTACGGTAAGCTACCAGTATGGTCGCATGATCCTGTATTGCTTGACCTGACCGTTTAAGCAGTCATGTCCTCATGTTTGGGCTCAATTGTGCCCTACTGGCATTACAAAACTGTGAAGGGAGCATGGATGTCATCAGCTCGAACAGATCATATTAGATAAACGTATGTGACGACTTCAATATATTTCAAGTGATGCGTCGTCGGGGGACCATTGATGAATTTACGTGACCAAGTGACACTCCGTCTAGGACCACTTTGGAAGATATCACCGTTTTGCCGTGCTTTACATGTTTTTCCTGTTTTACAGGTCTTGCAGAGTGCAACTCTCTGCCTCACAACAACCACTCCAGAGCAACTAGCAGCGGCACTGCAATGGTATCTTACTCCGTTGTCTCGATTTGGAGCTCCCGTAGGGGAAATTATACTCACTCTCTTACTCTCCCTCCGTTTTATCGGTCTTGTGTTCGACGAGGTACGTGAGTTGTAACTGCACTTAAAGCATTTGCCTGTTGTAGGCAGAGAGCATCAGTTGCCACACTTGAATATGAACGAAATGTATATTGGTTGCTCTAGGGGGCTGCGTACGTATACTTCTCACCTCAATGTTCTCCTTTGCACTGGGGGTAGGGTGTTCAATAAACTATCGACTTAATTGAAGCAGTGAATACAACGCTAGCTGTGTTCGCCTACTTGTAAAACCAGCATCACTCAAGGCCTGGAAGCTTTAGACTGTTAAAAATTTCCCTCCATTTTTTACAGGTGCGGAATATAGCGTTGGCCGTGGTTGCTCGAGGAGTGCAATGGAAGACTCTTAAACCTATGGAGACCATTGACAGTAAGTCCACGGTTGAGATACAGTACTGAATTTTGTCATGTAGTTTGCTCCAGCGATGCCCATCTGTGAGTAGGGTCAAGGTTTTTTTTTTATCTGTACTTGCAGTTAACTCCCGAATTTCTCACATTGACTTGTGCCTGGGTACAGCACTCTTCACTCTTTTTGGGCGATTATTCAAGAATCTACTCAATCATTCTGAAAGAATTTCTGAGGTTCGTTCTCACTGCCACAATTTGGTTAGGAGGTGCTTTTGCTGTATCTTGCAACATGCTTTCTCACTCATTTTAATTGTACATCACTGCTGAAAAAGCCGAACGGATTGCTTGCTGCTGGTAACCAGGGGTTTTTAATCGTATATAGAATTTACGACGTATTGGCTTCATGGATCCATTGAAATGGTGAGATCACCCGTGCGCAGGCAATGGTGGCTCGAGGATTCAAAGGAAATGCATCGAACCACAAAATATACTTTCTTACGAACTTTTCGCTCACAGGTTTAGACAAAGTCGCAATTTTAGGACTCATTGTTTTGGTAATGTTGACATCGTATTCAGAACTAATGCTACCCGTTTGACCACCATGTTTACTACCCTGTTGTACACGTCTCTCGGTTCCTCTGAATAAAAATATATCCACTTAAGTACGAGTTGTGAACTCCTAAGTCTGTTTGTTTAAGTAATTCAGATCCAATCGAAGAGATGGTATTGTATCAGACTTGTTGTTGCACGCATCTTTACGAATCCAAATGAAACGGGAATAACGATAATGTGAGATTTGTCCTCTGAAGTAATTTTTGCTGGCTGTTCGGCGCGAGCGAAAACATTGTCTGTCCAGGAGCACCTGCTTCATGTTGTGGATTAGGTGTTATCAAGGAGGAACGATAATGAGAGAGCCTCTGTGCCGTGCGATGCAAAAAAAAATCATATATTATCTGGTCTGTATCACGAGTTTAATGCTGGATTGGATTGTAATATTCCACCGAAGGTTTTAGTGCGATTGAAGGTATGATGAATGTATTGTGGTTATTATGCGTTACTGTCGTGAATAGAACGATGATTTTTTAGACTATGGACAATGCATTTCAACCATAAAGAGAAAGTTTTTGCTTTGCATTGTATCGTGTACTGTCATGCTGAAATGTTTGCTGTTGATCTATCGCTAATTGGTTTTCTAGACTTTTCCTGTTTTGAACTTGTTTTCGAAATCACTGGTTTTGATATGAAAATGGTGTTAATAAAGTAGTCATTTGTGAAGGCAAGGGAAGAGTGTGAGCTGAGGAGTTGGAAGGTACAAGATTGAAAGATTTAGTTAGGTAACGCTGTCCTCAAACACACAAGATGTTGTTGTGTAGGACGGTGTCTAATACACTAATATCATTAGATCAAGGCTGTGACATGCAAATATCTTGATTTTGACAAGTGATAAGAATTTTTTTGGTTACGTGAAAGTGGTATTTTAAAGTTTGCTGCGACATTGGATCTAAAAGAGATTCACGTCTGATAACGACCAAGTTCTACTATATTCATGATGCACAACTCCAATTCGAAGATCCTGCCATTCATTATTTTAGATGCTCTGGCTACACGGGAAGTGCGATGGTATCCAGTTGTATTAAAGGTTCTTCTCCATATCTTGAACTCTAGGTAATTGGACGGAACGACCTGTACTTCCACAATTTAAACTCAGAACATCGTCACTTACAAAAGGTTTTCCGAACTTCATCCAAAGTTGTGAAGTAGAGTGGTAAAGACCACCTCCGCCAGGAAAATCTGAAAGTACTGAGTTTACGGCATTCCCGCCTTTCCTTTCTCGTTCATGGATCCACCAAAAGGATTTTGCTCCTCGATACGAGTTTGAGGTAGCGTCTGCTCAACGCTCATATCCCTTCCATATTGGTCTGCTTGCTTCAGGGAGTCCTTCACCGAGCGCTCAACATCGCGCCCAGTAAGTGGTGCAGCTGCAGCTTCTTCAGCTCTCTGCTGCTTATGTTCAGCTTGCCTCGCTCCTGAGTCCTTCTGCAATCGTTGAAATGAAAAAGACGTCACTACATTAAGTCTCAGTTTCTAATGATATTGACGCTCTGACAGGGTATCTGGTTTCACCAAGTCGTGTCACGTCTTTTTACTACCATGTCACCTATCAGAAAGCATGTCCAAGAGTGCCGTAGGTAGACAGGCCAGCCATAATACTGCTGCGATTCAACAAAATGATGTGCAGATCGCGTAAGTGTGAAACTGACAAAAGGAAGATAGAGCATGACAGACGAGCTTACAGCTGGTTTTCTCCCGAACTCCTGATCGATCGGGGGAGTCTCAGCCTCTGGCTTGTCGTGGTGAAAGAACTCCTCCGCTTTTTTCTGAGCGTGTTCCGATGCCATGGTGCCCTTACCTGATTCTGACAGAAAACTTCGACCGATGTATATCAGTTGTGCATACTTAACTGCGAGTCTGATCGAAGGACGGGAATTTATGATGCCAAAGCAGAAGACGAGTAGGAGACAAAACATGCACCAGCAGAGTGCTCTGTCTTGCCACCTGTATCTGGATACTGTGACGTGACAAATGGCATGAGCAAGGACTGCAAGAGGAAACGATGGACGTTGCGTCCATTGTTTAATGCGGATGTAACAAAGAGGATTCGGGAAGAGGTCATGGTGCCAGAGCAAGGACGAGTAGCTTCGCCAAAACAAAACCGTGAAAGGTCGGACGACAGAAGAGATACACGAGTGTGAAAAGAACGAAGAGCATCATTTGTGAGTGCCTACAAGAAATACATGTTAGAGAATCTATGTATTTGAAGCATGTAGAATACTTTACCTAAAACCTTATTCTGCTACATACTAGAAATTTATAAAAGATAAAGCTCATAATTTTAATTTGTATAAATACAAGTACACTCGTCTAAGTAAAAAGTATTTAATATGTCAAAAACATTAGGTGCATTAGGCTAAAATTTAAATTTTGATTATATTGGAGGGTTGCCCCGCGGTACCCCCATTCGGAGGACTCGACGGGTCCTTTTCAACATACAACTTGCTGCTTCTTCATGTTTCGGTGACTTGGGCCCTCATCTGATGAGGTTCCCTGCCGCTAAACTGCAGGAACCGGCCCATTCCGACCGGCGAAGATCGCACCGCCGGCAGTCATTTGCGCTGGACATTGCGACACGAACAGTTCTCCATATGCCATGCCCGCCGCCACGTCAGACCGCATGGCAACCGGGGACCGAGAAAGCACCGCGTCCCGTGGGGGAGCGCGTGGCCTGAAACATGCGTGCGTCAGACGGAAAGTCTCGATCGGAGGCTCCTCCGGTCGTGGACGACGGACATTCGCCATGCGCGCCCTGCACCCTAGGATCGGATCGCAGCCTGCACCATGGCGATCTGACTCCGTCGTCACTCGGCTTTCGAAGCCGAGTGACGACGCTGAGTTGCGAAGCCGGGCTTCGCAACCCAGCATCTGATCGCCGTCGGGCACACGGCAGGCAAGGACGACGATGGATCCGTCGGGTCCGATCTGAACAACGCTCTATCCCCTAGAGATTTTGTGTGGCAGGAATTCCTGCAACATAAAAATCTCGCTTCTTTCAGGTCTACGAATTGACCCCAGCTTCTGTAGATCTGGCCTCCTAGATGTGGTTCACGATTGTGCCCTGCACAGCCTCTACCGTCCCATTATTGTTTGAAAGCTTGGTGAGAGTGGTAGGCTTGTGTTGCAGGTATCCTTCTCTATGAATTCTATGTAAGGCTCATCTAGGCACTTGGAACCTTGTATTATTGCAGGAGTCGCCTGCACACGTTTCCGCTTCGTAGAACTGCACAAGAGGCAAATGTGATATCCGCCATATGATCTTCCTCTTGATATGATGTTCTAAGTGCATCATGTACATTATAGGAACGAGTGCCGACTTACATAGTTCTTTCAAATGCCACGCCTTGCTATCTACCAGTCAGCTTCTTTCTTGGTGTTCACAGATGGTCAAAAGGAGGTTTTATCATGACAGTTCATTGTCCAAGTCATAGATTTGGCAGTCGTAGCCGGAGTCTTGGTCCAGAGGCTGCTGGGAGTCGGAGTTTCTTTGGACTTATCAATTCTGCATCGTCCCCGAGCATGCTGGTCATGGTGGTCTCTATGTCATATAAATGACCTTTTCTTTCTCATTGAACTGCCAAAATTGGCAGTCCAAAGTTCCCACGACATACTGCCATGACAGGAGTGTCTCCAACCTTTGATTGAGCAGACTCATGTGAAACCGAAACTCAGAACTTGCTGAGCATGGTTTCGTGTGTTGAAATTTACACCTGAAAAGGCCTCATGTAAAGAGCTGGAGAGACGCAGTATACGCTGGGTTTTGTTGCAGTCCACAAACTAGAAAGTAACCCCTACTTCATATGACGTTACCGATCGGTGACGACGTTTCACGTTATCAAACAGTATCCCACTCAGTCTGGCTGGAGAAAGACCAAGCAATTATCTTAGGTTTGAATTCACTGATGTCCTTCTGTCGGTCAGTTCCTACGAATGATCTGGTATTCATAACGTTTTAACTGTCAATTCCGATTGTTATGTGTAAAGAGGAATGCTCGATTAGCAGCCCCACTGTCTAAGTTTATTCTGCATATTTAAGTGTGATAGGGTCTACACACGTCAAAGGACTCTTCTACAAACAAAGCATGAGTATGAAACTGATGAGTTGAAAACATAGGGTGGAAAAGTGAACAATGAATGTTTGTATCTGAGTAGAAGTTACATTCATAGTAGGACCTGAATCGATAACGGTGATGATTCTTAATTATTTACCGAGCTGCTCAGGACAAGCAGGGTTTAGGTATTAGGGTCATAACCCAGCAGTGCCATGTATCATAATGCATGCAATTGCTGGGACCAAAATGCATTCATTTCTTGCAAAAGAATCAAGCAGGCCAACCAATAAGGGTTCAGAAGAACTTGGTCCTGGAATCTTCTACACTTTCAAGTTGCAGAAGCAGCAAAGAACGAACCGATCACTGTTTTTTCAAGTCTATTCCCTCTCAACACGTATTTGAAACCAAATCTATGTCGTGGGAACAAGGACCTATCACAAGAGCTCTTTCATACGATATGCAGAATCAGTGAAGCTTAGTTGTCAGTGGAGTGTCCACGACTTATTCCTCCTCAACTTGCATCAACTTGCATCCATCATCTTCCAAGACCGAGGGGATCTTAAAATGGTAAATTTACTGTATTAAAAACGTGCTAAATGCAGTGTATCTCACGATACTTCTTCGGATTATCTAACTTCACCTCCCCTAGAAATGCCGACAAATCTCAACCTTGATCATAAAAAACTGCCAGACTACTGCCAATCAGTCTCCTGCTGTCGTGGCAAAAACCAGCTGCGCTTAATCCTGGCTCGGACGCGCATTGACCGGCATAACACTGAGACACCACAGTTGACAAATTAAGTCCAGATGGGGTACGTAACCCAGCTCCAGAGGTCACGACTAGTCTCACCAATTGTGAAGTATAGGATAGGAAAAGAGTGGTGATAGGCATTGACTTCGACATTTCCCTTTTGTGGTTTTTAGAGTGACTTTATAAGGAATCATCTGAGAGTAGTCTATCTTCAGTCATAGTCGTTCCGAAGCTCGGAAATAAAAAATCTCAAAAATAGTCAAAAATCTCCGTTCGACTGCAATCAGCGTCCACCTCAAGCCCTCGTTAGTAGACTGCCCATACCATCTTCTTCAAGATCATTTTTAATAAGTCTAACGAGGACATAACCCAGAGCATCATGTGTCCAGAAACAGATGTAATACTCTCATGTCTTATCCAAAGAGACCATTTATATCTTTTCATGTTATCAATAAGTCTAGAAGCAAGTGAAGGGCCAATGCACTGGACCAACTTCTTGAGTACCGACGATGAAGATGAATCTAAGGTTGGTAGCTTGAGTTGGTTAGTCAACTAACTCACTGAATCAATGTCTTAAACCCTCGTTAACAACAGGAATTTAACTGCTGGCGTCATCGGTTGAAGTTATAGGGTCCCTATCCGAATCGAGCCAGTGTGCAAGCGAGAATCATGTCAAGGATGTAGTCACTACACATTTGATGACACTACATTGTAGTGTCATCAAATGAGGTATTTGGTTGACTTTTGGATTCAAGACGAATCGAGTCAAACATGTACAAATATCTGACGAGGGATGCACGAAAGGCTCTGAATCCTTGTACAGAAGGGTCTGTATATCGAAGTGTGCCCAGTAGTCAGACGACATGGTCATTCATCATCAGAGCACTCGGCTACCAAAGCTACTCTGGAAATGTAGAATGCTACAACGCCATTACTTGTCGCTGCGAGGGCTACGTGATCAACTTCCGCCGAGAGCGATTTTCTCACTAGCAAGTCCGTTCTGCAAAACACGCGGCCTCATTGCCGTCCGCAGAGAATGTCGCTGAAAACGTGGTCTCTCGAGCCTAGCCCAGCCCAACCCAACCCAGCCCAGCTCGCATTGTGCAACCTCAGATTTGCAGGACTGGAGTCAAATTTGATATCGCATGCGAGTCGTCGAGTTTACCTCCTCAACATACACGACCCTCCACGACTCATCTGATCATGTACCCGTCGAAGTTTGACTCCCTAAAGGTTCAAGCATATGACTTGTACAGGCTTAACCCAGAGTCGTAATCATATCTGAAGAAGCTAAACAACTTCGAGGCGTCCCGATCCATTCAGGTTCGAGGATCGAAGCATTGACCAAGCACAAAAAATTCTTTGGTTGAATCGATCCTCTCCTCGGTTGGAACCCTTCTGATGTTAGGCGTGGGGACGTGGGGTTATGTTTAACTTGATAACCATTGTTTTTATCACCCGTAACTTCACCACGAAGTCCAAGAGTCTGGATTTATGAAGTTAGACCTCTTTGATCAATTCACCAAGCACCTCTCTCTTTCTTGCATGTTGAGATGACTGCGCGTGAGAAAATCAATGTAGATTGACGTCTCTTGATCTCAATTGTACGTATATTCTTATATTTCAATATTGGACATTATGGTGACTATGAACTTTACATATAGCACTAACCATTTCACACATTAAAAGAACTGATGTTTTTTAAACTCCTGTATCTTTTGTGATACTTTTGACAGTTTTCTAGTTTTTCATTCCTCAGCTAGTTGTAGTTTACACTTATTGTGAAAAATAATTCTATGATAGAACATAGTTCAAAACCTATGAAATCTTACTAATTTGATTAGCTCCAATGCTATCATCACCGTTTTATATAGAATATAAAAATAGTTTGGAGAATAGTGATGTTTATAAATGTAATGAATTTATACTGAAAAATATCATTCATCAATAACACTTTAAGTGATAAATTAATTTCTGTGTCTTTAATGTCTTAATAATATGTGCTAACATAACATCATGATTCAAACTCGTTTATGAAGACATTCAACTAAATATAACAACAAAGTTCAAATATTTTACTTAGTGTCAGTGATAAAGTCACATTGTTTCCAAATTTGTGGTGAAGTAATTTTTATTCAATCTCGAATTGAGATGTCTCATGTATGATATTTTAGGTAAGCACAACTGAAAAATAAGCATTTGACATTACTAAGCAATAAAATAACTTGTTACCTTGCATAGTTGAGATTGATTTAGAATTTTGTGTTATGATCAATTATCATAGGCAAGACATGGGTATTGAAACTCATAGTTTCAAGAAGCTCCTTGAATATATACATAATGAAATGTGAAATAACTCTTCAAACGGTGCACTCTTTTAAGATTTATATCAT